GAGAGAGAGAGAGAGAGAGAGAGAGAGAGAGAGTGGACGTGAGCCTTGGTATTGCTTTGTATGTTCAGCAGTAGACTTTTTATTTGGACGTCTCACAAATTTTCTGCTCAGACACGCTCAGTATAAGGCAATTTAAAAAGGATGGCGTATAGGAAAAAGGAAAAAATCAAAGTATATATAAATATATATGTGTATATGAAATGACAAAATGCTCTAGGTCTATTTAAAAGATTTAATGTAGAAAACAAAATGGATTTGTTGAAGGGAGGTCGGGGTTTGATGTGAGTATAACTGTTCGTGGTGAAGACTTCAGCTCGAATCTTGCACATAAAGACTTATTAGAGATATTGTACCTGCGAGTTTCAGATGATGATCTTTGTTTCAATGCCGGACTCTTTGCTCTTTGATATTTATTGCGTGTGTGGTGAGCTCTCTCGCGCTGTCTCTCCTCCACGCCGACGAGCTCTCGGCCGAGTGCTCACTGTAGAATCCTCCAGTGTCCGCCCGTCAGAAACTCTCCTCTTTGTTTGTTTTGTTTTCCAGATGCCACAGACAAACACAAATACTACTGGCTTTGGGCTATTGAAATTAAGGTCATAATACTGATATATAATTGATAATATTCATTGATTATTATAAAATTTATTTTATTTCAATGATTATTTTGTTTTTGAGACAGGTAGGAAGTTTAGGACTGCTTGTAAAAACAGTTCATGAATAAAAATTCTTTTTCTGTGTTGCCTCCTGTCACTTTTGCTTTTGTGTCTAATTATTATTGTGTGTGTGAATGAATATATATGTTCAGTCTTAAGGTTCAGATTAATGAATGAAACAATGTTGAATATCAGATAAAGGTGTCTTTATGCACAATCATCCAAGCAAAGAAATCCCTAAATGTTTATTCTGTACGTAGCATTTTCATTGGGACTAATGTTTCATCACTCACGCAAGTGACTTCTTCAAACTGAGACAGAGTTATGATCCGAATGCACTGATGCAGAAAGAGAGAAGTCCCAGATGGGTCGGAGTCCCTGACATGAGCTAAGAACCTGCGCAAGACGGGACTCAACCAGAAACCAACAGACCCTGCAAACCATGACCATGTTGCTAATGTCCATAAAAACAAACTGTCACCACCAGGGGGCACCATTTTACCATCCTCATGATAGAAAAACTTCCATGAGTGGCCCCACAGTGCAGGCACTACTGGCCTTTGAAATCTGGAAAGATTAATAAGTAATGTGCAAAATGTATCAAGATTCAGTTGAAACGGTTTTTAAAAAGAATATTAAATGGATGATCATGGCTTAATCATAGTTTTAATTCTGGATTGCAAAAGAACCGATAGCATCTACAAGAAAGAGAAAACAAAGACTTGAGGTTGAAGGAGGAATATGACCTTGAAAAAGCTTATTTGATTGATATATATATATATAGATATAGATATAGATATATAGATAGATATAGATAGATATAGATATATATATATAGAGAGAGATATATAGATATATATAGATATAGATATAGAGTCTCAGCTACCTACAGATTGACAATTACTTTGAACGTAACTTTAGAAATGGAGCAGAACTCATTGAGCACCAGATCATCTCAAACTTTTTTTTTAACATGGCGATGAGTTCACTGTACTCTATTTCCTCTGAAGTCACCAGCGCAGTCCAACAAAGCACTGCTAGGAATGGTTTGAATGGGAGAAACCTGTCATAGCTGACAAGCCTCTGTGTGATGTCATGTTAGTGTGGACCCAAATCCAATAGGAATGTTTCGAGCCACTTGTTGAATCTGTGCCACGGAAGGATAAGGCAGTGTTGACGGTAAGAGGTCCAACCTGGTGTTGATAGGGTGGTGAGTGTGAATGGATAGAGAAATATACACGAAAGATAATAAGTAAAAATGCAAAACTTAAAACACAGAATCAGCGATGTTCAGGATTTATTGTGGGCACCGTGATTAGAAAGAGGTACATGTGGAGGAATGAGTGATCCGTGGTCACCACAGCACGATGTGCTTTATTAGCAAAGAATCATACAACATGTCTAAGAGGAGGGTTGCTCGTACCACACCGTCCCCAAAGTCATCAGGAGGCGCCTTCTCCTCACTGCTCAGTCTTCTTCAGCTGTAGTTGTCAATCAACTCAAGCAGCTGATGCACTGCAGCTCTGAACATGTGCATTTGCGGCCTGCACTCATTATACCCCTCCCCCTGGTGTTCACACAGCTTTAAAAAAAAACAAACACGTTTTCATGCTGTTACTATGTTTACAGAAGATGATAACGTTTCCCAGTGCTGTAGAGCCAGATTACTGTACTTGTGGCGTCTGGTGAAGGACAGGTGAATGGCTAAAAAGAAAAAGGTAAAGCGGATCATGTTACAAGCAGTGGCTTCACCTGACAACAAGCTTCTTTGTGTCTCATGCAGGTCTCCAAACAGGGTCGTTTAGAGACCCTTCCTCCACCCTGTGACTCCAGATATTTATAGAGGAGTCGTCTGTCAGTGAAGCCATGCTCCTGGTCTGTGTGTCGCTCTATTTCTGACTATTGCTGCATACCCCCTCAGTCAGTCTTGCCCAGTCTGTGCGACTGTGAGTGTGTGACAGGGGGACTCTCATTTTGGCTCGCTGGATTTGCCATTAAACATCTGGAGCCTTTAGCTGCTTCTCTACAGTTTTGGAAGGTATGGCTGCGTTTTGTTCTATCCTATTCGCTGTCCACTTATAAAGTTCCTGTCATGGGTTTTATTTATAGATTGGAGCTGGGTTAGAGAGAGCGGGGCTTCAGGGGCCTACATTCTGTAATACAGCCGGGCTGAGATTTGACATTGTTACATTTAGATAACACTGGTTCAGACGCCGCTGTCTACTTCACCAGAGGACTGGTTTTTACTGTTGGCTCGATTTTTATTGTCAAGCATGTTTCTGTCTGTGGTGTCTTGTTAGAAGTTTTCTGTTGAGGTCATAAACTTGTTTTGTCAAGCAAGGGTCCTATAGTTGAAAAGAAGGTTTAGCATGCCACCCGAGAACCTGTTTGATGCATTTCTATGTCAAAACAGACTTTTAGGACAGTTTTAAAATCATTTAGAAAGTTGGTTTGTAGTTTTTATGTGATTGGCACAATGCCTGGTCCTTCTAAAACTAGCTGTTGAGTTGTTTACAGGGACTGACTAAACCTGCCCCTAGTATGCTGCTTACAGGCAGAGAGCAGGATCTCATACTGTATGATCCACACCACAAGGCTACTGGAGCGAGGTACATGGCACATAATGACAGACATGTTTCTGATTTTCTATCTACCTCTGAGGCTGGATCTTCCTTAGAGGGGAAGTTCGGAGAAAAAACCCAAACATGAGACCTCTGACACTTGTTTGATTTTGCTTTCAGATGAAACCATGTTTAACAGGATGATTTTCATCCACTACTCTTTGGAATTAGACCACATTTTGGGTTATGTTTGGGTTAGCTTGTGTTGGTAGTCTGGATTGGTGATTAGTTGTGATCTAGCTTCGCTCTTCTCAACCTCCTCCCTTTGAAACCTTTTTAAGAAGTCAACAGGTTGAAAATCAGTTGGACTGATGATTTTTAGTTTTGTACAGAGTGCTGGCACCTCAGACAAACACGCATCTGGGTCCTTGAACAATCTGATGACCACACTGACACAAAGTTCTAATCATCAGCAGTGAGAAGTGCACAATCAATGCAGTCCTGTAAGAAACTAAATACACCTTTACCGCTGTAGGAATGAAGAGTGTAGCTAGCGTCCAGGTCCTGCTAATCCAGGGGTGGGCAACTCCAGGCCTTGAGGGCCGGTATCCTACAGGTTTTAGATCTCACCCTGGGTCAACACACCTAAATCAAAGGATTAGTTCATTACCAGGCCTCTGGAGAACTTCAAGACACGTTGAGGAGATCGTTTAGCCATTTATATCAGCTGTGTTGGATCAAGGACACATCTAAAACCTGCAGGACACTGGCCCTCGAGGCCTGGAGTTGCCCACCCCTGTGCTAATCAAATACACTTGATTATCTGATCAGCAGTAAGTGTGAGCACTTTTGTAAAAACTGAGGTTTTGACAGTTTGTTTCTGTGGCGCACTCGAATGTATGTTGTATACCAATGTCTTCCCAGGAGTGGGCGCCCCAGCAAATTTACCCCAAGCTTAGACCATCCATGCTCTGAGAAACTGCAAAAAACTCAAGAACTCCACCGCAGACTCTACAAGTTCATAGCAAACATCTCAGACCAACTGCCAGCATGGTGGTGGAGCGATGAAGATTTGGGCACCTTACAGTCACTGAGCAGAACATGAACTGCTCTGTATACCAAAGTGTTCTGGAGTCAAATGTGAAGCCGTCTGTCTGACAGTTAAAGCCTGAATGAAACTGGGTCATCAACAGAACAATAATCCCGAGCACAGCTGCTGAAAAAGGAAAGAATCAGTGCTGTGGCCCAGTCAAAGTCCAGACTTCAACCCGATGGAAATGGGGTCATGACAAAACAGAACCGCAAAAAGACATCAGGAGTGTTTGAGGCCAAGGGCAATGGGAAGGCACAACTTTTTTCACAGTGTAGCTACTGATTAGTAAAACTTTTCACACAGATTTACGCTTTAACAATATGTGTGTTTATGACCCTATTAATCACAGCAGACCCTTGCCTTCAATGCAGTGTTGTAAAAAAAAGGTGGATAATGACAAGATTGACTAACGCCAACACATCATACAGAGTCGGTGTGAGCTGACTGACAACAGAACCTCTGAGCAGGAGCACGACGAGACAGTTTCTTAAAAAATAATGACGTCTCAATAGACACAAAGTGGCAGTGAAGTATGTCAATAATGGAAAAGTGGATCATGAAGGTGTGTGTGTGTGTGATAACTGTCTTTTACTGAAGATTATCTAATTTACCTCAGTTTTCTTTCTTTCTTGTCAGATTGTTCTTCTCCCTCTGTGCACACGCACATTGCCACAATCACATCTTGCTGACAGACGCGTGACCCTCCACCTCCACAGCCACCTCACTCCCCTTAACCCTCTCCCTACTGTGAAACCATGGCACTGTCCTCACGCTTAAAACTCTGGGAGAAGAAGGGAGGTGCAGAAATGCTGTGTGCTGCATTAACTCTAATAGCTGGTTGTGACTGCACACATGTGTGTGTGGGTGTGTGTGTGGTGCACTGATCACATAGTGAGTGCTCCTCTGTTCTAACCCTGAGTCATCGTAGCATGCCACTGCTGTGGTTGGTGTATTAATCATCTTGCATGTTCAGTGTTTGAGCTTTTTACAGCCCCATGCTGTCACTTGACATTTGCGATCTGAATCTGCTGATACTGATATTTCTGTTGAGATACAAAATATTGAAGCTTTCCACAAATGGGAGCAGAACACCCAGCCTTATATGGCAGTTTCATCACTCAGTTCATTCTGCTTATCACACGCTACCGAAAGACTGTACCTAAAAGATGGTCATGCTTAAGTTGAGGTTTTTTGGGTTTTTTTTAATTTTTTTTATCCATTTTGAAGCCTCGAGATTAGCCTCCATTTTTCAGCCTTTTTCAGGTTGATTGTAAAGATATTTTTATGCTCAGTGACTCCAGCTTACAACACCATTAGTGGAAATCCTTACAGAAAAAAACGAAATTGTATGTCCCAGCTGACCGACAAACTACAAAGTCTTTCCCCACAGTTCATACAAAAGGAAAGTAGGAGACAGTGATAACTGGAAACTGTTTTTCAGACTGGATTTTAAATGTGTTACACTATCCTGGCAAAAACACAGAAGCAGAGTATTCTTCTGCTGGGTAAAGAAAATACATGCTGTCCTTTTCATGTGACCCCTCGTACACCTGGTCATACACATGATACCATCTCATAGGATGTCAAATCTCTGAAGAGATTCATACATGCTAGTGGATTTTCAGACTGTCACTGGGAAAATACTGTTAATGTAGCTACATTGTGGAGCACAGCAACACAAATGGAAGGCATCAGATATCAAACTGATTACAGTATTGGTTAACTGACACTGCATTGCATACACAAGGGTTTTAACCAAAGCAAATATTCTTACACAGTAACATGTTTCATGTGACTGATATGTTATTACAGTATACATAATTAGATTAAGAATCGCTGTCATTTTAAGCACAGTCCCTTAATTACTGTGCAAGTTTGCAAATGATATTGAATACTGGGCAACATGAAAATAATTTTTTTCTCAGATTCTGTCCCTCCTAATGTTCTTGCTCCATGCAGGAAAAACTTTTAAAAGCTGCATTTGAAATCAACTTGAGGCCTTTTACCTGCTTAATTTCTTAAAGGTTTAATAAAGAAATGACCATTTACTTGTCCATGCTTCTGTGTCAAATAAACCCCCAAAACAGGAACAAGTGTACAAAATCTAGACTCTAATGCCTGAGCAGCTGATGCTCGGCTTTTCTGTTGAAGCTCATAAACTGTACCTCTATTATTGTAGCTGAATGTAGCTGTATTATTTCAGATCTGGTGCTGACAGAGAAACAGTTGTGACATCTTCTGAACTTACTGTAACTGTCTGGGGGGTTTTACTCTTGGATTAGCTTGACATAAAGCTAATATTCAGTTTTATTTAGTTTAGAAGTAGAACTAGAGGGTTTCTTATCTTTAAAGAGAAGATTTAGGTTTAAACCATCCATGGAACCTCTGCTCAAATCTATTCTAATGCAGTCACAAGTTCATGCCAACTGCAGGGTTTTACAAAACTGGCACATTTTCACTGGTTAGTCGTCCAATTGTGAATCTCATAAAAAGCTGTGTCAAGCACACTAATGTGTATCCCAGTCTAAATTTTGCATTGGGACCAGATTTGGTACATGGTATGGGTAATGCATTACTCTTGACTGCTGCTGAAACAAAAACAACCTGGCACTGTACAAGCAAATTCATCAGCTGACTTCCATCTGCCACATGCTCACATCATGGCAAGGTAGTCCATTCAAGTCAGGTATAATGAGGCTTCTCCCACAGTTTTTCATGATCGCACACTGTAGCTTCTCACAGAACGCACTGACCTTTCCCATAGTCCCTATTGTGTCAGCAGGTGATAACTATTAGTTAAATGTCAGGCCCATTTCTGCTGGTACTTCTCAGCCCTTCATGCCATTCATCAAAGCCACCACCTCATGTAAAAGCTGGGGAAACAATAAAAGGCTTTTAAAATTGTTATCATCATTGAACACAATGCCTTTCATTGACTCAGTGTGCTCGCAATATTTTCTATTTCACAGAATTTCTTTAAATTAATATGTTTTTGACAGATTTGTGGAGTTTAACAATCCAGCATAGTGGCACCACGTTTACCAAAATGCCTTTGGTGTGAGACCAGACATACAGCTTCCCTCTTTTGCAGAGCACCTGTCTATAAATTACAGAATGATTGCTTCACCTACATGAAAATAGCACGAGGGAAAAAACAGCGTACTCGAAGGCCCTGCCTCTCTGTGCCTCGGGTTCACTCCTCATCTCTACACCAATTCCAAATCCTCACATCTCAGGCATCAATCTAACTCTGTAAACAAATCCCAATCACAAGTCCAGTAGGCCATAACTTTTTTAGAATTCCAGTCTTTTCACTACTTTCAAGCACCTGTCCTCTGATGTGTACCTTCCTATTGTGTGTTTTCCTCCAGTTTTGTTTTTATTCCTCTTTTTGTATAGACTCCTCTTGTCTGTTATTTATTCCTGCTGTCTTACTATTTCTATTTCTATTCCATACAGATGGTGCGGAGCACCCACAATTTTGTCGTACATGTACAATGACAATAAAGGCCTATTCTATTCTATCCTACTCAAATTAACAGCCGTTTAGATTGTCACACATTCTCTTATTTGAAAAACCCTCCAACGCCTCAGGTACCTCATAGCTGTTTATGACCCTGCATGGTGCTAAAAGTGCTGAAGGAAGCTAATTACAAAAAGGCCTTTAAAGGACTCACATTCATTTATGTCCACTGTGCCACACACTGCCTCCCCTTTTTGGACTTATTCTAAACCCTGTGGAGCAGTTTTGATGAACTCATGTTTGAGTGTTGGTCAAAATAAAGTGTTTGATAAGAACTGTAAGAAATCTCTTTCGCTTTCCAACACATTTGTCATACATTGTCAACGTATGCATTTGACTTGTTAAACTCTCCGCTGAGCATGCAGTGCATGCCTGATGTGCATGCCCAATGGACTGCACACTGCATCCAAACCATACAATGACTTTCTATTTTGTTTGTTCTGCCTGAATCATCAATGGACCAAACTACAGATAAAGGAGGAAAACAAGCCAATTGTCACAACGGTACCACATCCGCCTCTGTCAGTTCTTCCAGGTGGTTTCCTCAAGCAGCTCGTCAGAGATTCAGAGAAAGAGACCAAACATAAAGAGCCAGAGGTCAAAGAAGAAAGGCCAGTAAGTCATTCATTTCCATCTCTCAATATCTTATTGAATCTTAAAGATCTTAGTGTTGCCAATACCAGAGTTGGTCTGCAACTAAAAACGTGACTAGTCATTTAATTAGGCCACAGGTGTGCCTAATAAAGTGGCACCCTCTCACTCAGATCCCTCTGGAATGGCCTTCTCTAGGCTGGAGAAAACAATGTCAGTAATGTAATGACAGCCAGAGAAGGGCCAGATGGGCTTCTTTGGATAAAACTCATTTTCTCTATCTATTGCTAGCTTTGGCATTGAGAGATTTAATGGAAGAGATAACAGAATGTATGGATAATAAGAGGTACACACTTGGAGTTTTCTTAGATCTAAAGAAGGCATTTGATACTGTTAATCATGAAATTCTATTAAAAATTTCATGATTAAAAAAACTGGAAAGGTACAGGTTTAGGGGAGTGGTTTGGACTAGTTAAAAGGCTATGTAGGGAATAGGCAACAATATGTACAAATAAATGAATATAAATCTAATTTGATGGATATTGCTTGTGGAGTACCTCAAGGTTCAGTATTGGCTCCAAAAATGTTTATTATGTACATAAATGATATTTGCAGAGTATCGCAGATTCTAAAGTTTGTAATATTTGCAGATGACACAAATATATTTTGTACACGAGTGAAGTTGCCACAGGCTTTGGAGATGATCACACAGGAATTAACGATATTAAAGTGGTTTGATATAAATAAGTTATCATTGAATCTAGATAAAACCAAATTTATGTTATTTGGAAACCAAAAGAAAAGTATCAAAAAAAAAATTCTTGGTGTGATCATTGACCAAAAGGTCTGTTGGAAACCACACATTATACTTTTAAAATACAAAGTGCTAGAACAACTTTAAAAAGTATGTCTATCTCAATAGCGGGAGTGAAATTATGGAACAGTCTAACAGAAGAAATAAAAGAAAGTAACAACATAAAACAGTTTAAAATAAAATATAAAAAACAAATTTAAAAAAATATAAGAAGGATGAACACAGGGTTAACCCAGGATGGTAGTGTTGTTGGTAATAGTGTTTCAGTTTAGTTTTTTCATAATTTGTGAATGTGCAAATGTAACCATTTATTTATTTTTATATGAAAGTAACTATACTGTGGTGGGGATTGTTTATCTTTTGTTTTGTTTTTTGTTTGTTTGTTTTGCTTTACTTTTGCTTCATATGTTGTTTGTTTAATTTAAGACTAAAAGAAAATTAAATGAATGAGAGGTAAAACCTGAGGGGGTAGGGACATATAAGTATATACTTCTGCCTACCTCTTTTCGAACAAAAGAATGGAATTATATTTTGTAATGATTGTGAATGAACATGTTTGAAATAAACATGAACTGACCTTAACTAAAAATGATCTTACCTGTTAAGGCAGATATACTGCTTGTTACCTAAAATAGTGGCTAGCTGGCTAAGCTAATAATAATAGCTTACTAATGTTGTAACTAATGCTAATCGTTCAAACACTTGGAAGCATTTCATATCAAAGCTATAGAATTCACACTGAAGACACAACAAAAGCACCAGCAGACTGTGACACATCACCCACTATTTCCAGTAGCACTACTACACACAAGTACAACGCATGCATAACCTTCAGTTAACAGTCAAAGGAGGCCTGTTACTTTTTTCTTCCCACTACAGCCAAACAAACTGAGTGACAACCTGGTGCAACAGTTTCTACTCCCAGATCAGACTCCTCCAATCCTCGAGGCAGAAATGTCCCTGCGGACAGAGCAATTCAGCGACAACAGCGACAACAGCCAACCTCAAGGACGCAACTCAGCACAGCCAGATGGCAGGTCCTCATCTCAGTGCCACATAGTGACTCCTGACTCCAGGGGTAAACCTGAAACCAGACCAGACGTAACACCAGAGCCCCCAAAGCAGAAGCTGCAACAGTGGGACAGAAGGACTGAAAAGAAGAGCAAAAATATGGAGGAGCATACAAAGAAGGAGAGGATAGAGGAATTTGGGCAAGGGAAGGAGAAAGAGAAGGGGATGGAGGAGAGGCAGGAGCCAGAGGGAATGCAAACAGAGACAACTGTGACAGAGAATGCCAGGAAGGAGGTATGTATGCTTTTGTCATCCGGTCTTACAGATAGTCTGAGGCCTGCAGAATACTTGGAAACTCTTCTACATTAAAATAATATTTTTAATGGATTTTTTCCCCTTTTCGTGACACCGTTTCCTTTTAAAACTAACATTTAAATTCCAATAAAAACGTATCTACTTTATGCCCTGCATTCAGATCCCTCATCTGCCTTAGTTGAGACATTCACGAGACATAGACAGTAAAAAAAGTGGATGTAGCTTTGTGGTTGGAAAAGTAAAGCCAGTGGGGAAGTGCCTTAAACTTGCATTCTGTCTGGAGGCCATTAGATGGCGACACCTATGGCGATTAGTTCATTGTTCTACTCGTTGTGGATCATACTGAATAAAAATAAACCTAATTTGTAGGGTTTTAGTTTATATGTTTTTGATGATACTGTATTTGACACAGGAGGATTAGTTGTGATGTTTTCAGTTTGCTCAATGGCTAATGACTTGTCAGTTGCAAGCATCTTTTTCTCAGCAGTGCGCACACAGCGAGTGACTTTTCTTTGCCACATCTCTACAAAAGCGCTAGTCTCCTCAAATTTATCTGAATTGTTGTGGTGTTTTTAAAGAGAAACCTGAGTTAATGCTGCCTTATTTTTCCTTAGTAATCCTGCAGTGCTCCCCTATTGACATACAGCACATTGTTTGCAGATCACCCTGCTATCGCAATAATCACAATAATATCTAGTAGCATATGAAATGAAAAGATCAGATTTTCTTATATTTACCTGCTGTGATCCAGTGCAGCTGCTTTCCTTCAAACTGTTTATTTCTATGAACAAAATAATATGCCCTCCATAATAATAATTATTATATAATATATTGTTCATGCAAAGCAAAGACTCAACAAGAAGTAGTTTTTATTCCAGCAGTGTGATGGTCAGATTTCAGATGTGAGTGTAACAAACTGTTGTTAAAAACCCAAACTACATCAGTTATGGCATAAAATGGAAAATGCAGTTACAATTAACATTTTGGTCATTATGTCGATGGTTTTTGTGAATTGTGGGATGATCCATCACAATGAATTATGAGACGGCGATTTCTAATCTCCTTTCATAACGGATGGTCCTCCTTAGCTAAAGGAAGCAATAAAGGAAACATTGAAGCTCCTTTCCTTAGTATTCAGAGAATTTGATTAGATCTTCTTATGGATATTTCTGGGTCACGTCTCTCAGCTAAGAACCGTTAAAAGCAAAATGGATTATTGGAGCTCACCACTGGATTCTTGCAACCATGATGGCAACAGCATAAACATTCATCTTAAATCTTCAGAACAGTATTTGAAACCAACAGGTGACGTCGTGGTAGCTACGTCCACCTTTCGTACTGTCTGGTGTGACAGTACCCATTTATGTAGATATTAAATATTAAATATAATATTAAATATTATAAGCACGACATCCCAGTGTATTTCAGACCCAGCAACACGCTCAGACAAAAACTGGTTCACCCGAAAGACAAAACGCCAAAACACAGTCTTAACAATGTGGTGTATGCTGTACAGTGCAGCGAGGAATGCCCAGACCTCTACATTGGAGAGACCAAACAGTCACTTCACAAGCGCATGGCACAACACAGAAGAGCCACCTCCACAGGACAAGACTCAGCAGTCCATCTGCATCTTAAGGATAAAGGACACTCTTTCGAGGATGCCAATGTTCACATTTTGGACAGAGAGGACAGATGGTTTGAAAGAGGAGTGAAAGAAGCCATCTATGTCCACTGTGAGCGACCATCTTTGAACAGAGGCGGGGGTTTACGACACCAACTCTCTGCCATCTATAATCCAGTTTTGAGATCCCTTCCCAGACACCTTAACGCCCACTCACATCCTGGGCCATCTAACCTCAGGAATTCGCACGATAAGGTGGGGCCAGGTTTCACAATGAACTCACCCGAAACTCTGGCTGATTGGGACCCACACCCAGTTTCACACCTTGGCTCAGGCGATTAGAACAGGTCCTTTTGTCCCTCTGTGGGGGGTTTCTCCCACTAGGTTTATATCTGGGACTCTCCACCATTTGACCTTAGAACTGAAGAAGCTTCTCGGATGAGAGGTGAAACGTCTTCAAGTAACTTAAAGAAGTCCAGACGCTTTTCTTTGCAAGCTCCTTTGACTACGATGACCTGGATGACTGAGAACCTTCACAGACATTAAATATTACCATTCCATTCAATAGAGAAACAACAAAGTAATCCAAAACTAAAGGTTCTTTTAGGGTTTTTTTGTATTTGCATACTTCAGTAGTTTGACCTATGTGCATAGTGGGAATCAAAATGTTTACGGAGACAAACAAAAGTTACATTTAAGTCATTTTAAGATCTTTAAATCTCAGACAATACAATTCTCTACCTAATCTACTGTCGTTCTGTCCAACATATGATGAAAAGCCTAAACAAAAGGAAAGAAACTAGTGTGACAGTTATATAAGTAATTATAAAAAATGTACATATGGTTGATCCGTCGTGATGAAGAGAGAGCTGAATGGAAAAGCAAAGCTCTCAATTTACCAGGTGATCTACTTTAACTATGGTTACAAACTATGGTAGTGACGGAAAGAACGAGATCGCGGATACAAATGGATGAAATAAACTTCCTCAGAAAGGTTGCTGGCTTCTCCCAGGAGATATGGTGAGGAATTAGGCCATCTGAGAGGGGCTCAGAGTAGAGCCGCTGCTCCTCCACATTGAAAGGAGCAGGTTGAGGTGGTTCGGGCATCTGACAGGGATGCCTCCTGGGCACCTCCTGTGTGAGGCCCCGGGGCAGACTCAGGACACGCTGGAGAGATTATATCTCTTGGCTGGCCTGGGAACCCCTTGGTGTTCCCCTGGACATGCTGGATGAGGTGGCCAGGGAGAGGGAGATCTGGGTTTCTCTGCTTAGTCTGCTGCCCCTGGGACCCGGCCCCAGATAAGTGGAAGAAGACGGATGGATAATTTTCCTTATTTACACTTATATGTTTCATTGTTGTCCTCATTTATTCTATAGTCTTCTGTTTCTATGTCTGAAAGCTGAGCTTTGAGCTCACAGGGATTATTTGAAAATGTAGCAGAAAATAAAGAAAAACACAACACTTTAAATGTGACTTCACTAGAAGTAAACTCTGAAAACAATGGTATTTAATGCTGTGGCACACTAAATGATTATGCATTACAGAAACTGTGCAGCCAAAAAGTCTTTAAGAGTTACTGTTCTTCTCTTTGTTCCTCTCATGCTGCTTTCTCTCAGGTTAGGGATGTGTGGTATGAAGCTGGAACTGTGTGGTACGTCGACAAGGATGATTTCATCCGTGGTATGCATTGAAAACAACACACACGCACACACTACAGTATGCATGCTAGCTATAAGTACATTTTGAAGAACATTTAACCTCTAACTGAAACCACAGTTACACATGGATGGATCTATAACTGCTGACTCATTCACACAAAAAACAAGTCTTGATTGTATCCTTGAAGATCCTTGATATTTCCACACCTCAGTTCACAGGGTGTCTGTATGTGTGCTTTCAAAGACATAACTTCATTTCTCCTCTTTTCAGCTACTCAGCTGAAGCCAGACGAAGGCACACCAGAGCTGTCCGAGGGCCGGGTGAGGGTCCGGCTTGAGACGGACGGCTCAGTGCATGATGTCTCCGAGTATGAAGTTGAGAAGGTAGATCAGACTAGAAGTGTCCTTCTGGTTCTATTACTGTCCAAATCATGTAAGAGTTTGCACATCAACTTGTCCTTTGTTTCTAATGCAAACCTTTCAACAACCCTTTCTTTAAGAAACAAACCAGATGAGAATTTCATATGACAAAAAGGTCAACATTTAAACGTATCAGCACAGAGTAATGCATAAATCTCCATTAAATTTTGGAGATTTAGCACACATTTTCTTAAAGTTAAAGCTTTTTATCCCAGTCCTGTTACAGTGATGTTACAGTGATGTGAAATTTAAGGAGAAGGTCTTTTAGGGATATGATTAAAAAAAAAACTGCAAACATTATATGAAGCATTTTTCATTGTGCCCTTTTTTTGGTTTGGGAAGCTCACCTTGTAACCGGAAGGTTGCCGGTTCGATCCCCAGCTTTGTCTGTCCTGGTCGTTGTGTCCTTGGGCAAGACACTTCACCCTACCGCCTACTGGTGTTGGCCAGAGGGGCCGATGGGGCGATATGGCAGGTGTGGCTACAACTGTAGCTTGCCTCTACCAGTGTGTGAATGTGAGAGTGGAATTATAATGCGCTTTGAGTGTCTAGAAAAGTGCTACATAAATGCAATCCATTATTATTATATCAGGAAGAATACAAAATCATCTGGTCCTCAGTAGGTTTTAAATTGGGGTACATGCAACCTCAGATGAACTAAAACACAGGACATATGACATATGACAGGACCTTTTCGTCATTCATTTAACAGTTTGCTACTCACATTTGTGGTAAGACAGAAAAGGCTTCTTGGAAGGGTTATAAGGTCATATCCAAACAGTCTGGTGTCCATCATTCTACATTGACAAAAATAATTTTATGTTACTGACAAATGGAAAACTAGTGGAAAACATTCAAGACATTCACCAGTCTTGAATGTTAAGGTAAGAGGTTAAAAAAACCTCTTCTCCCTAAATACATAAGAGAGCACATCGGTGCTTTGCAGAGGTGCATCTAAACTGTTGTTGTTTGTATTTACTTACACAGCATGTCTTGTGGAATTTACTGGAGTCAGCAGCAACAGCATAGCGCAGTCATATCAAGTCTAGTGACATAAGGCAGGAAAAGATCAGTAAGGAAACAATTTCCCGCAGCCAAAACACAAATCCAATGAGAAGTAGAATACGTTCAGCATGATGAGGTTCAGACGGTGTTCCTGAGAAGAACCAAGTGAAGTTTGTGGTTCTGGAGAATTACTGGAGGTCTCAAGGGACATAAGATTACAATTTATTCAAATTGGATGAAGAGTTTTGGAGTTTCAGCTCCTTAACATGTGCCACTTTTGAAAAGGACCAAAATTGGACAATTGAGTCAAAGCCTATTTCATGGGCAAAACTCAAAACACTGAACACAGGACATGAGACACAAGACAGGCATGGAGATGTAGACTTGACCAGGAGATGCACGACATAGAGATCGGGGAGACTAGACAAGAAAACATGTAACACAGGGGAGGCAAAGAAACAAAATCCAAGATCTAAAAATCACTAAAATACAACCAGACACTAACTGAATCAAAGAATATTAAAAACCAAAACCACTGAGTCACAGGACTCAGGACCAGCACAAAAGGAGCTCTCCATGCAGGTGAAAACCGAAAAACAAAACAAACCCATCCAAGAAACTGCTACAATGTTAGGAGCGGCAAAATCTACAGTTTGGTACATCCCGAGAAAGAAAGAATAATTTCAAATAATAATTTAATTTATATAAACAAAACTGAAAAACTGAAATGATCTTAGTTTTTGGTTAATTAGCATTTTGTTTCATTCAGGATGCTGAATTGAAATAGTTTGAGAATTTGTATAGACATAAACATATTTTTGTTTGTCATCTTATCTTAATCCAGAACAATAACATTAGTGATATCAAAGTTTTAAAAAGGCAGCATTTTTTAATAACTCTATAAAGCATCTCCACTAAGACAGAAGAAAACAGTTTTCACAGGGTGTAATCTGTGTGAAATCTGAGACTAACTCTTTGACATTTGAACCAATTAATGGAGATGCTGTTCCTCCACAGTGTAATCCACCAGAGCTCGACCTGTGTGAGGATCTGAGTGACCTGCAGAGCGTGAATGAATGTGGAGCTCTGCACACTCTGACCAGTCGAGCTAAAGCAAATCTTCCACTGACACATGCAGGACCAAACCTGGTCAACTTCTGGCCTCCGTTACAGAGCCACAGCAAGGTAAAATTTACACACATTTACAGATCAGTAACCCTATGAAACTACAAAGCTTATTAAGTATGTGCAACATTTTATGTTTATCTTCTTTTTTTCTCTATTAGACCCCAAAGTCACGGCGAGGGGAGTCTGTGTGGGATGCTCCTCCTGCCCTGGCTGCCCTGGTCAAACGTGTCTACATGTCTATGGTTGGCACCAGAAGGGATCACAGTGTGTGTGCATTGGGACGCAGCGGGACGGGCAAGACCACGGCATGTCAGACCTTCACACATGCTCTTATCAAACAAGCTGGCACAGCAGGAGAGAACATGAGTGGTGAGCGTGCGTTGTAAAAATGAAAACTGTTTAGGTTTTTAAAGTGTTAATGATCAGCACTAAAACTTGAAACTGGTACTAGTCTGTCATTTCAGTGACTGTGAGTGAGTCGCTACAACCATGAATCTTAAATGAATCCCAAAACTATATTCAATAAACGTTATACACATCAACATGTAAGAAAAATGATGAAAAATAACCTTTCAGGGAGTTTGTGGATCAAAATTTCTCTGTGAGAGACTGACGGTATCACACAATAAAGATTACTTCAAGTTAATACGGCTAATGTAAGCTATTAAATTGTGAGGTGCAAGTAGTGTTTTGTTAAATAAACTATGACTATAACTATGTGTGATATGTCATGTGTTACTCTCATTCAAGTAATTTTAAAATCTGCCGAGGAAGGATTATTTTTAGTCTGTCCTGAGAGGTAAAACCTTCGATGTAATAGAGGGTGTCCTGTTTTTAGCGAGCTTGTAGGTTCATTTTGCTGAAATGTTTGCTTCAGCTTGTTTTCCTCAGCTTTCCACACTTCCCTACTGTGATTATTGCTATTTCTTTCACTAGTGGAGCGTGTTCAGGCTATGTTCACTATCCTGAGGTCTTTTGGCTGTGTGAGCTCTAAGCACAGTGATGCGTCGTCTCGATTTGCTATGGTTTTCTCATTGGATTTTAACCATGCTGGACAAGCTGCTGCTGGACACCTACAGGCATGTAGCTCAGACACAAACCCATGTAAGTTAGTCAAATATGGCTGTGTAAATTGGGATTTGTGACTTCTCTTCCTTTTCCTCCTTTTTGTCCTGCTTCTCCATCATTCAGACCTTGATGTTGGACAAATGGAAAGTGTGCCAGAAAATTCAGGGAGAAAGTAACTTCCTGGTCTTCTCTCAGATGCTGGCAGGACTCAGCGCAGAGACGAGGTAATCTCCAGTAAAAGTTAATAGGCAGATTTGTTTAAGAACTGCACTATATATTCAACATATTTAATGACACAACAGGAAATTTACCTTCACATTATGAAACGTTACTGGCCCTCAAAGTAGATATTGTAGGGTTGGACTCAAATCTGGCACTTTTTTAATTTGTCCACATTTTCCCCAAATCTTTAAGCCTTCATAACTTCTTATGTTCTAGTTGTGGTCCTGCTGAAGCAGCAGCAGCTGAAGGTGTTTGTTGCAGATTCTTCCTTTATAGAGCTACTGATTTGCCACATAACAACCTATTTTCCCATTTCTGATTCTATATTAGGATCGAACTGCAGCTACACCAGCTCTCTGAATTCAACTCCTTTGGTATTGTTCATCCCGCCAAGGTACAGTAAGTGCATCAGAAGGGTCTCTTTTTACCACTATATCACACGTCATGGTATAACAGGCAACATAACCGTAAGTGGAGAAGTCCAGCACAGGGCAGTTCTGTTTTGCATGAACACAGGTGTAATGCTATATTCAGTGGCAACTGGGAAATATTCATTTGTAATATCTGGCTAGGAAAACTCAATGAAAATGAATAACGTGGGTAAGGTTTTCTTCCCTAAGCTTCACATTTTACGATGTTCTGTGGAAGAGGAGCGTTCACAGTGACCTTGCGTATTTGCTGATTATCAGAAGAAGAAACAAAGGAAGTCAGGAGAAAGTTGTGTTTTTCCCTTTTCCTCTAAAATGGAAATCACTTTCAGACTTTAGACCGAATTTTTCTGGAACCGCTGTAATATATGACAACTGATGGCACTGCTGCGTGAATGCTGCTTCAAACATGTGTTTTTCATTAATGCCATCAAGTCTTTACAGCAGAGCGAGTAACTAATTTAAATGTTGTATATTTTGCACTTTTTGGGGGCTTTTCCGTCGCCTGTTCTGTACACTGTGTAACAGCCAGAGCCAGAATAGTCACAGCACAGCTGCAGCTGTGGTCACAGCCTCAGAGACAGCTACTGTTCAGAAAGTGTTCTGATGTATGGAACTACTTTGTGTTGCTTTGCATTGGGAACCATTAGTGTGCTGGTCCAGTCCCTGTTTAATAAACTGTAAAGAACTGCTCTGTGGATATTAAAGGAAAGAGAAAGTACTGAATTTACCCAAGATATTTAAACCTACAGGAAATGTTAATAGAAGGCAAAGAGATGCAGATGCAGCATTTTCCTCAAAAAGGTTTAAATTTCTGAAACAAAGTTCTTCAACATGAAATAAGAAATCATAAATATTCCTTCCCCTCCTACAGAAAACAAATAAATAAAGTGCAGCACTGTCTAGATGGGAAAACAAGTAAAGTAAATCAAACCAATAATTATAATAAATAATATTAATTTTATTTCTCCACAAATATCCTGAGGCTGAGCTTGTAGCTTGGAACTCACCGGCTCTGGGCGGTCTTGTGCTTGCGTAGACTGCACAGAGTGAGAAATAGCTCTCCTGAGAGAACCCTGGTTCTATTAATAATCATTCTAGTTGAAATGAGTGCTGGCGAATAGCCCCAGCTGGGGGTTTCACCCACTCACAATGTGGCTGCTCATGTCTACTCGTACTATATGATAATGCTGCTGAGGAACACAAAGGTAGTCAACAAAACTAACCCTTTTGTATCTCTGTAGATCATAAAACTGTACTTTGTGTGGTAGCTGAGAAAAACTAAATAGGGACACAAACGTTCACTAAACGTATTTGGATGGGGTCGCTGCATTTGATACAATGACAGAAGTCAGTTAATGAACAATTCTAATTTAGAAGATTGACCAACACTTCTGCTTCAGTTCAAAGTTCTGGGTGTCCCTTTGCCCAGCATGCTTGTGTGAGTATGAGGCTCTGAGGTAATATAAATGGAAAAATGAGCCAAAACATAGAAAGTGAAGTGGTCAAACCACATGGGAAAAGAGTTAGACTGTGATTGGAGATAAGATGGAAAGATGTGACTCAGCTGTTCCCTCACCTCATTTAATTGTCTGGCTGTCAAAAACAGAAAAGACAGACTGTCCCCTCTCCCTTTCTTACTGTTCTTAGGTGGAGGAGAAACAGCGTGCATCCATTGCTTTCACAAAGCTGCTGAGTGCCATGGAAACACTGGGCTTCTCACCCGGCGAGCAGAAGGCGATATGGCATGTTCTGGCTGGTATTTACCATCTGGGAGCTGCTGGGGCCTGTAAAGGTAACATAGGGATTCACTGTGAGTCACATAGTGTTACTACACACTCATGTACACACACACCTCCTGTCTGTAGCTGAGGAGGTAGAACCATGGGAAGGTTGCTCGTTCGATCCCTGGCTTGGACAAGACACTGACCCCAAGACACAGAGTGATTCTCTTTAGGAAAGCCTGATAGTGTCGAGCTAACACTCCACCTCCGATCCAGTTACTTTAAATTTCTCACTCATTGCTGAGCCGACCATCACTAATGTTCAGTGCATGCTGTCATAATCACATCCTCTTTGAGTTTTCCCTTTGGTTGTGCAGTGGGCAGGAGGCAGTTTATGAACTTTGACAGTGCTCAGAGGGCAAGCAGTGTGCTTGGATGTGAAGGTGATGATCTGCACACAGCAGTTTTCAAACATCACCTTCAACAGCTTCTGCAGAGGGCCACCGGGGGCAGCAGAGAGAGGAGCGGTGCCGCAGAATCGGAGGAAGGTGAGATGCGCACACACTAAAGCCAGCATGTGAAAAACAGCAGCGGAAAGTTTAGAGAGTGTTTGAGGATCCTGTTGCACACTATCAGTGCTTTCAATCTCTGCTGATCATTACAAAAAAAAAAAAACAAAGCTCATGGAAGTGAATAGGGAGATTGCTTCATTAATATATTTTAGTGGTTACAATTTTTCATTTATAATTTGTTTGATATTTCATTATTCAGCTTACTGCTATGTTGAACAATAAAGGCCATCAGTGCGGACTCCAACTAAACACAGCTCACTATTCTCCAACAGTTTTGATTGTTTAGAGGGAACTTTACCATTTTCTGATCCAGTGACAACTTCAAGCATCTTGTTACAAGAGCTAATGTGTGGCACCATCTGGCATATGAACTGGTGTTTATAGAATGGGATCTTTGGTGGTCAGTACAATATAACACATCAGCACTGCAAAGAATTCACAGAATTAAAGCTACTCATGTAAGCCTCATTGCCTTTCCACCACGCAAACATCTTTCCTTCAGCCAAAAGATACGATCAGCAGAGCTGATTAGTCCGTGAATAATCTACCCAACAACACAGGAGCAGTTTGTTGCTCAGACTGTGACAAATGTCACCAAAAGGTCATCAGTGACAAATAAAATTAAACGAAGTGGTGACCTGTGATATTGGAGACGCACAGAGCTGAAGTCACATTCAGTTGCTCTGAATTTTGAATGGGTGCCTACATATATTTTACTTGTAGCATTTGTTGACTTAGTGTGAGAGCTGACACGAAGCCTCTCAAGACTTAGCCAAAAGGCTATCATAGCCCTGCTTAACTTCTAAAAAAAAGCTCAGAGGCCCCAAAAAGCAGGGATAAAAGATACCTGCTTTAACCTCTCAGAGGTTCCAGATTTTCTTTGAGTTGCATTTTTAGAGAAAGGACAACGTGCTGTAGGAGTGGATTTATCCTGATAAAGCCTTTAAGGATAAAGGAGAACATTAAACAACGCGAGTAGAAAAGTGTGTCCTTATTCACTTTGTTATGCGCAGGTCCGAGGCTAACAGCTGCTCAGTGCCTCAATGGAATGGCTGCTGGACTTTATGAAGAGCTCTTCACTGCCATCGTGTCACTCATCAACAGGTCTGGATGCATCTCATTAAATACACGATCCACAGCCTCATCACAAGCTCTCAGTCTGCCTTCATAACTGCTGCCTAACAAGGCTTCATGACTTTAGACTTTGTTTTACGATGGCTTACTGTGCTTTTTCTTATTATCTTTAATATATTTTCTGCTACAGTGATTGAAGACTATATTAAACATGGCCCAAATTATCCCTGCAATCAATCTGAGTCTGAAAACTCAATTTCTGATCACTTTTCTACTCTTCTACTCTGTATGATGTCACAAAGAAGGGATATCCCTAATATGATGATTTCAGGCTCAGGACCACTAATGCCCACTGTTCAAAACCTTCTATTTTTGAGAGCAGCCAGTAAGAAGACAGCTGGCTTTTAAAGAACATTAAAACTGACTGCTCGTTCCATTGAGGGGTTGCCTAATGGCTCGATATGAGATTATAAGGAAGGCTTCGAACACAGAAGACCAAATGTTTGAACTCCTGGAGTTGAAAATGAGGGGAAATAAATAAGAGGAGCTAATGTTGCTTTCTTTTTCTCAAGCTACATCTGTGTGTACCATTTACAAAGTTTGCAGACAGTCTGATGCATTGATCTGTACTTCTGTTTCCAGCTTCATGTGCTTATAGCAGCCGCCTGTTGTTTTGTGTAATTACCACGCTACTGAGGGGGGCCTTATCACATGATCATCCTTCCCTCTACTGTACATTCATGCATCAGATATGTGAATGAAGAACAAACATATAAAGAACTGTAAAACTCAATCAGGCTGTGTTTTGTGGGCAGGGCGCTGAGCAGTCAGCAGCTGATGCTAGCCTCTGTGATGGTGGTGGACACGCCAGGCCTGAGGAACCCACGACACTCAGCAGAGGAGAGAGGAGCCAGCTGGTCCGAGTTCTGCCACAATTACCTACAAGAGAGGCTGCTGGAGCATTACCATTCACATACGTTCACACATACACTCGAGAGATACGCTCAGGTAACTCAGTGTACAGTTACATCTTTCAAGCTGAGTGATCATCTTTTGTGAGTAATGCACACTTACACATAAAAACTCAGTTTCTAAAGCCTGAAAAGAGTATTGAGAAGATGGACGGAGCACTTTTAGGTGCTGATGAATGTAGAAAACGAGACAGGAGGATTGATGGGGACAGTTAGTGAATCAGGAAGTGCAGAGGATTAGTAAGAAGGACGTTTGGGGAAATGTGCAGAGAATAGGTTGGTCCAAATGACATACCTGTGCAGGTATAGGGATGTCTGGGAGAGAGGGCAGTGGACTTTTTGACTAGTCTGTTTAACAAAATCGTGAAGAGTGAGGGGATGCCTGGGGAGTGGAGAAGAGGTGTACTAGTACAGATTGTGAAGAACAAGACTAGTGTGCAGAGTTGTAGTAACTGCAGAGGGATAAAGTTGATGAGCCATACCATGAAGATGCAGTAAAGACTTGTTGAAGCTAGGTCAACAAGAGAGGTGATGGTCAGTGAGCAGCAGTATGACCTCATGCTGAGAAAAAACACTACAGATGTGATGTTTGCTTTGAGAGCATTGATGAAGTACAGAGGATATCAGACATGATAGAGTACCAAGAGAGGAACTGTGACAATGTGAGGAAGTCAGGAGGTACAGACAAGTATGTGAGGGTGGTCCAGGACATGTATGAGGACGGAGAGGCAGTGGTGAGGTGCCTGGTACAAGTGACAGATGGGTTCAAGGTGGCGATAGGTATCTGTGACCTATAATGTCTGCAGATGACATTAACATCTCCAGCAAGAGTAAGGAGCAGGTGGAAGAGAGCCTGAAGAGGTGGAGGTGTGCTCTGGAGAGAAGAGTAATGAAAGTCAGTTAAAGGAAGACAGAATACGTGTGTGTGAATGAGAGGGAGACAGACGGACAGGTGAAAATGCAACAAGCAGAGATACTGAAGGCAGATGAGTTTAAATATGTGAGATCAACCACCCAAAGCAACAAACAGTGCACAAGAAAGGTGAAGAGCCCAAGCAGGGTGGAATGGGTGAAGGCAAGTGTCAGGGATGTCAGAAGGATAGCAGCAAGAGCTAAATGGAAAGTTTGTAGTAGTGAGATGGTAGATGGTAGTGAGACCTGCTGTGATGTATGGTTTGCAAATGAGGTGGCAGAGCTGAAGATGTTCAGTTCATTGGAAGGGAGTGAGATGGACAGGACTAAAAATCAGGAGTTCAGATTCAGAGAGGTGAGGCTGAGATGAATGGAGCATATGCTGATGAGAGATAGTGGATATATTAGACAAAGGATGATGAAGATGGAGCTGCTAGGCAGGAGCAAAAGAGGAAGATCACAGAGAAGATCCATGGACGTAGTGAAAGAGGACATACAGAGGTTTGGTGTGATAGAGGACGCTGGGACAGGGTGAGATGGAGGCAGATGATCTGCTGAAGGTGCTTCCCAAAAGGAAGGACTTGAAAGAAGATCGATGCTGTAAAAATAATGAGTACATACAGGATAAATAAAGTTTTATGTAGACATTCATGATCCCAGGAAGATCCTAATTGCTTATAATATCCCTCTGACTTCTTTATTGAGGTCATGAGGTTGGAATTGCTGGTTTTGACTCTAACATTGAGACACCGATCAGAACGTTGAATCACATGCACTGTTTTTCAAGTTTCAAGTTTTTCAATGAATCATTCTATTGACAAAACCTTAAAGAGATTCAGTTTGATCAATAACTCATCTAAAACAATAAAGGAAAATACAGTAAATGATGACAGAAATCACATGGGCCTTTCCTTTGAAAAATTCGCAAAAAAGAAAAAAAATATTCAAATAAAATACTGTAAATGCAGGCGTTGATTACCAAGTTATTATTCTACACAGACCAAACAGCACTGTATTTAAAAATGAAAGTGCACCACTATTTTCCTACTCCGACACACAAACTGAAATCAGCTGATTGTACCAAGAGTGCAAGAACCGATAAGATGTATCGACAGGCAGGCAAACTTACTACGATTCCCATCCTTAACTGGAACAGACTCTCTGCCTTTAACAGACCCTGTCATCTTTGTTTTACTTGTTTATGTTTTAGTCTGTTATCTTGTGACCCAATTATTGTGTTTGAGAACCTGATGTCATAACTTTTGCCTCTGTTTTGCTGCCCTCTCTTGTGTACCAGTATACAGCACTGGTTCATGTTCAGCTTACAGGCAACAGCACTTACGGTCCGAGTGAGAGTTTTCATAGCCAATCCCTCTTTGGAGCTTTAAAACACAAGAAAATCAATAAAATAACAATTACACACATTAAAAAACAGAATTGCAGACCAGAAGAGATCTGTTTCTCACATGTGCAAGTGGCCAGAATGGGATTCACACACAGCAATTTTAAAATGTCAGCCACACTGGAATGTGTCCAGGATCTTTTCTGCTCAGCCTTTACTAACACCAGCTTTAACAAAAGAGTACCAGTTTTACCCCCTGAACTTAAGCCCTAACTGGTTTTCACTGAGTATGCTAATATCTTTGGGATATCTTCACAGTCGTGATGCATGTCTGTCAAAGATGAAAGATTAACAAAAGAGGCAATTTCACTGAGATTAAACCAATACAATTGTTAGATCTACAACAAATATGTTCCGATTTGATGAAAATGAAACACAAAAATGAGTTAAACCGATTATTACTGAGTGAGAAAAGTACATAGGTGAGAAAAATACATTTGCCGGAACGACTTTATGTTTTGTCTGCTGCAGGAGAAGATCCACGTGGAGTTTGAATGTCCAGAGACCAGCCCGGCCGAGGTGGTCTCTGCCATTGACCAGCCACCTCCACAGGTACGCAGCAATGTGACGTAAAAAAGACGTAAATGTGAGCATGAGGATAACAGCCATGACATCTTACCAGGAGTTTGATGTTTCCAACTTTACGCAGGAATCTTAAAGTTGTCTCATTTAAATTTCTGACGTATAATGTTATATGATAATAGCTCTAGAGACTCCAGAAATAACTTCTGTCTTGAACGCATGAGACTACGAGGCTTGTGAGACTTCTAGTTTTACCTAAAATCATCCCCTGCCCTGCTGCAACAACCCAAATAACAGTTTATCAAAAGTTGACAAACTTGTCTGAGTTGGGTTCGATTATTAACAGAGGGAATAGTTTCACCAGCAGCACCTACAACTGGAGGTTATGTAGCCTGAGAGGCGCACCAATACTTTTCCTCCTTGTCATTATTATTACAGTCTGTCCTTACTACTCCCCTTAAAAGAAGCCAGAAGAACAGTGCTCGTTTGCCAGCATTTATCTTGTTCAAGAAATTACATGTACTGTGACTTTTAGCATAAAAATGTTTTTCTACTTCACTTTTCATTGTATCCTCCATCTGACCAATAGAAAATCATCATGCTTTAACCCAATGTATGCTTGAAAAGTACGTGTGTGTGTGTGTGTTTGTTTCAGGTCCGCGCAGCAGATGAAGACCGCAGAGGTCTTTTATGGGTTCTGGATGAGGAGATGGTGACGCCAGCCTCTTGTGAAAACAGGGCCGTGGAAAGAGTGTGCCAGTATTACAGCAACATGGGTAAAAAATACACTGCTAGTGAAAACTTGAGCGCCATATAACTCAAAGAGGATGAATTAATTGTGTTTGTTTGTCCTTGCAGTGCGACAGTGTGAGCAGCTGCTGCAGTGTGAGGTGAAGCACCTGATGGGGTCTGATCCTGTCCGATACGATCTGGCTGGATGGTTCAGCCTCATCCAGAACAACCCATCTGCTCTGAACACCATCTGTCTGCTCCAAAACTCCACTGTGTAAGTCAGAGGCCTGGGGGCTGCCCCACAAGGATGCCGTGTCTAAATGAATATCTTCTAGTAGGCTCCAGTTGGCAAATGGCCCTGGGAAAATATTTTACTAAAAGAGTGGTGAAAGCCTTTCAAACAGTTAAAGGGTGTGTTAGATGTCATTAAATGGTCAAAACTCTGTATATCCAACTAAAACTAATTAGTGTGACCCTGTAAAAGGAACAGGTTTCCTTTCCTCTTTCAGAAGCTACTGTCTCCTTTTAATATTGGTGTTTAAACTGAACATATGCACATAGTTGTACTGTGTTTAAATTAGATTAAACTGAGATAAGAAAAGTTTTTATTAACCTTAGGGAAACAAATTCAGGTGTTTTAAGATAAGATAAGATAACCTTTATTAGTCCCACACGTGGGAAATTTGTTTTGTCACAGCAGGAAGTGGACAGTGCAAAAGTTATGACACAAAAATTAGAATACAATAAGAATAAATACAGTACACAGCTGTACAGAATAGAATAAAATAATATACTATATACAGTAGAATAAAATAGAATAAAAATATACAATAAGATAAAAATAGAATACGAATGCTATATACAACTGAGTAAAAATACAACGATGCCAGAAAAGATTATTGCACTTAGTGTTATTGCACTTAGTGTTATTGCACATGTGTGGATGTGTGTGTTTGTTCAGTTAAAGTCTGAACAAACTTTGGCAGCAGGGAAGAAAGAAAATCTAGAGAAGGGGAATGTTTTTAATAACTTCTCCATCTGGACACTTTCTTGCTAAGAAACCATTTTAAAAAGTAGCAGTGAGCACAGATATTCATCTCAGGAAGCATGAAGCACTGCTCCAGGACTTTGGGAATTCCTTGCCCAGAAAGTTTTTATATGACTTCATGGAACAGACTGCCCATATACCATTGATGAAGTAATTAACAACTGTTAATTAGTAGGTATGAACAAGTGTGGTTCATCCATGCATGATTCATTTACTCACAGCACATACCAGCTACACACTTGTAGTGATGTTAAAAACATGTTTTTGACATCCTGTGATAGCTAGGTTCTGTCTCTGCCCTCCCCAGAGGGGTTGTGAAAGCCATGTTCACCCCAAGAATTTCTCTGCCCCCCCTGTGTCGGGCTCTGGGGGGACTAGAGGGTGGCAGCCAGCGCTCTTTGCAGAGGAATGGCACCATCAGGAAGACATTCAGTGGGGGAATGGCAGCGATACGCAGACACTCTCAGTGTATTGCAGTAAAACTCCAGGCAGTAAGTTTCCAGAGCATTCACTGTCAAATCCTCATCTATTTCTGTAGTGTAACTGGATTCCTTCCCTCTTTGCTGCTTTTCCCACCATGCAGGATGCTCTTATCAATCTGATCCGTCGAGCCAGGCCAGTGTTTCTGCAGTGTGTCAGTGCAAAGACTGACAATGGAAGTTTTGACATCCCAGCCCTCAGGGTGCAACTGCACTCCACACAGATCCTGTCAGCTCTGCAGCTATACCGCATAGGTATGCATGCTCATGCATTAATATTTCAAGCTGTAACACTGTGTGTAAACCAAGTACAAAGCTATTAGTGACCATTCTAGGGTTAGGGTTATTGTTCTGTTGTACATGTTTAAAAGGCAAATATTCTGCAAGTAAAATATGCTAATTTTCAGAGTAAGTCACATCTATTATTTGGAATCTATGACACCCAACATATACATTAATGGCAAAACAACTAGCAGCTTGGTATTCCGATATCTGGAAGAAACAACTCCTATCACAACTAGAGACTGACAAGGTGAACACAAAACATGACATCACGTCAGGGGGGAGAAGTCATTATCCCCACACAACTGTTGTTCTTGGGGCTTGGTACCCAAGAACAACAGGTGCGTTGAAGGTGTTGAGTGCGAGAGTGACTGACCTGAGAGATAGGATCATAGCTGAGAGAGAGAGTAAAACTTGAAGGATCAAGACCCCCCGAGTGGGTTTTTTTTCACACACAGAGACACACACACACATATCTGTATATATATATATATATATATATATATATGTTCTTGCCCTTTTTCCAAATATTCCTGATGCAAATTAAAAAATCAATCTGTGGCCATGTTTGTCTGCAGGTTATTCAGAGCACATGACTCTGGGGGATTTCAGGTGTCATTTCCAGGCTCTCGCTCCTTCAGTCATGAAACGTTACGCTTCAGTGTTTGTCAGCCACGATGAGAGAAAGGTCAGATGGCACATGGCAGCAGCTCCCTTTCTTGTTCAGCATCATGTCATGTAAACACCTTTTTTGTGTTTGCTTATGTGTCAGGCAGTGGAAGAGCTGCTGGTTGAATTGGATGTGGATAAAAAGAGCATCCTCGTGGGTGCCAGCCGGGTAAGAACATGTTTGTACTCGAACAGCTGAATTTATTTCGTGCTGATATGGCTCATACATTTTTTTCCCCCGTTGTGCGTTAGGTGTTTATGAAGCGAGGTGTGTTGTGCTATCTGGAGCAGCAGAGGGAGAAGCAGGTCACTGGTTGGCTGGTCCACCTACAGGCTGCCTGTTTGGGACATCTTGCCCGTCAGAAATATCGCAAACTCAAGGTACTTATGTCTCTGTGAGCTTGCCTTCTGCACTGCTGACTGGGAATTGATGGAATTGATACGAATTTCTCATTGGCTCCCCTTTGAGTGTCACCACAATCGCTAAAGAGCATATCAAAGAAATTACACAAAACCTCTGCTGGGCTTGGGTTGGCATTCACTCAGCTTTAATATCATTCTGGGCTCTTGGCTAGCTTAGTGTTAGTATGCTGTCTGCGCATGTTAGCACTTAGCAACATGGCCTGGCCTGCATTTGTATAGCGCTTTACTCAGTCTCTAAGGACCCCAAAGCGCTTATAGCGCAAACATAATGTGTCTGTTTCTGTCCTGGATGCAGTTTGAACATTGCACGCTTGTCCCTTTGTGCAATATAAATAAAAGTAATGTCCTTATCCACGGTGTAGACTGCGGCACTATTTTCTTCCTCCGACTCATGAACTTAAATCAACTGATTGTAGTGCGAGCGCAAGAACCAAAAAGTGGGATCAATAAGCTGACTAACAATTCCGAAGAACTGGGCTACTGTTCTCTATAAGAACAGGTTCTCGATTCCTACTACTGACTAATCGAACCGCCAAATTTCCAATTGGTAGCCATAAGTGCCCAGTGAGATATTTTTAATATATACATGAACACAAACAGGAGCTTTGACTTTACCAGAAGAAAATTGTACATCATGTATTTTAAATGCAGCTGTTAGCATTTCCTTTAACTTTACAACTTTTGTTTCTTTTTGAGAGTTGTTGTTTTCAAACTTTTTGTGGTGCCTTTTTTGCACTTTCTTTTTGTGTTTTTTCTTTTCATAGGTTGTACTTTTTTGTGGTCATTTTGCATCTATGTAGCGGTGTTATGCTTTGCATGGTGGTTTTAGATGGGAGTTGTTTATTTGTTTTCTTTGCTCTTCTTGTGTAAATTTTTTTTTAATCTCTCTTGGTGTTTTTTCCTTTTTTGGTAGGTGTTTGAGTGTCTTGTCGGTCATTTTGCATTACTGGAAGTGTTTTATGATTTGTGTGGTTGTTTTGCATCTCCTTGTCATCACTTTGAGTCTCTTTGTGTCTGCTTTATCTTTTACAGTTTTTATGTGTTTCTTTTTTTATGGATGCTTTGCACTCCTTGACCTTTGACCTTAGCAAGTAATCATACATTTTCACTAGTTATTGCATAAATTATTGTACTAGTATAATAGTATTTCAGTTTAAGGTAATATCACTTTAAAATGAATGTGTTGGTTCAGGTCTCAATGAAACTTTTTTATTTTTATCTTTTTACATTTTGTTGCAATGGCATTTAATGGTTTTATCTGTCGCTTTAAAAGGAGACTGAGCTCAGCTGTAGGTTAAACTCACACATTGTGTGTGTGTGTGTGTGTGTGTGTGTGTGTGTGTGTGTGTGTGTGTGTG